GCATGAGAAAAAACTGCCCCGAGAGCATTCGGAAAGAGTTCTCACGTCTAGCATCTCGCTATTTCTTAAAAGACTCTTCTTTTGGAGATTTTACCCTGAATTATCTTACTTAAAGAGGGACGTGGCAGTGGGTTATCAGTTAGCTGAGCCAAAGTCACTGGAACTGAGGTCAGCCCTGTGACCTGCAGCAGCCTTTGTGAAGGACACGTGGGCACATGTGCTTTATTTTCGATAGCTTTGTAGGAAAGTCTCCAATGGTGATTTAATTTGCACTCATCCCCAGGGGTCTCTTCACAGAAGATCATTTAAGGTTCAGAAATAGTCACATGAAAGATGGCATCTGTTATAATTATATTGAAATAGCTTTTGATTTAGAAGACTTCTTAGGATTATGGCCTTACTTCAAGGTCTCATTATGAACAATGATCACTGGATAATAGAACATTTCCTTTTATAGTTAAGCTTTCTTATTATTTATATATAGATAAATGGGTATTTGGGAGGAGGTCCCAAAGGGGAGAAAGTCAGCCTGATTACCTTTGTGTATTCCGAGTGTCATTTCTTTATCCAAATAATAGGAAATCTGGAGAGAGAGCAGGGAAATTTTAGGAGAGGACCAGCAACAAAATCATTCAAAACACTCTTTCAGAACTCAGGGACATAAATTTACAAATTGGAAAGACACACTGAATTTCCAGGGCAGTAGATCAAAATGCACCCACACCAAGGCACTATCATTGTGAAATTTCCGAACGTGGAGGGAGAAGTTACAGGGAGGAAAAAACAAGTCAGACTCAGAGAACCTGGAGTTTAAATATCAGTCTTCTCAACAGCAATACGGGAAGCTAAAAGCCAGGGAAGAATGACCTTCAGAATTCTGAGAGAAAGTTGCAGCCCACCTACAATTCCTCACCCAAACTTTCAGTAGTCATGTTCAGATGTCAAGGTCATTAAAAATTTATTTCCCAGGAAGCTACTGGAAGATGTGCTTCACCAAAATGGCGTAAACCAGGAAAACAGATGTGGGATCCAGGAAACAGGAGAGCCGACAAAGGAGAAAGGCACGGGAGAGTCCCAGAATGATGGTGAGGTGAGGTGGCCAGCATAGAGGATGTGAGTCCAGATGTGAGCAGTTGAGAAGGTTCTAGAAGAGCTTCCTCCAGGAAGACGAAGTTGATAGACTGCATGATGTGTCTTAACTTCTTGAGAGGAGAGTCAGACAACTGTAGGTAGTTTTGGATCGAGGATGTAGGTGGAAAAAACTCAAGATAATGATTCACTCCAGAGTAAACAAGTTGTGCAAGAAAGGAAAATTAATGATATATTAATACATGTAGTTCAGTTCTGAATAATATTTACATCATCACAATGATAGAAATCAAATATTGATCCAACCCAAATTATTATATAACTGTATTGGGAGGGTGGAGTGAAGGGAAGGGTTTACAGTGTGTGAGTGGCATGTGTGTGTGTGTGTGTGTGTGTGTGTGTGTGTGTGTGTGTGCGCGCGCGCGTGTGTAGAGAGGTAGGGGCTGATAGGAGGAAAGAAGGTCAAATGACATTCTCCAGAGGGAAAGTTGACAGACAATGCTAAAACTGAAAAGGAGTGATGCAGTCATACTGATTAGCTCTACAGTATTAATAAAATAATCAGCTCAAAGAGTTGAGGAGGACCAAAGTGGTGGCATATAGGACGGGAAACTGATAGTTTTCATAATACACCCTTTAGAACTACTTAACTTTTTCAACTATGTGCATGTATAATATTGATACAAATAAAAATGTTAATAAAAATGTTAAAAATTTAACATTTTTTTTAAAGCTCTTTCTGTATTCAGAGCGTTTTTTTGTTTTTTTTTTTTGTTTTTTTTTTAGATGTTGCAGGTAGGAGTTTATTAACTAATTAATTTATTTTTGCTATGTTGGGTCTTTGTTTCTGTGCGAGGGCTTTCTCTAGTTGTGGCGAGTGGGGGCCACTCTTCATCGTGGTGAGCGGACCTCTCACTATCGCAGCCTCTCTTGTTGCGGAGCACAGGCTCCAGACACGCAGCCTCAGTAGTTGTGGCTCACGGGCCTAGCCGCTCCGCGGCATGTGGGATCCTTCCAGACCAGGGCTCGAACCCGTGTCCCCTGCATTGGCAGGCGGACTCTCAACCACTGCGCCACCAGGGAAGCCCCAAAATTTAACTTTTTATACAAGTAAAAACGTTAAATAAAAATGTTAAATAAATGACAGGAGCAGTTGCTGCTGTCATTTTGTTATACTTTTTAATGTATGTACGCACACATGCGTGGGCACACACGCACATACACAGACATACATGTGTGCGTTTTCTTGGAGTGTTTGCTTTGAGCCAAATGTTGTGTTGGGCCTTGGGGACACAGTGCAGATGAGATCAAGTATGATTCCATCCCATGAAAAATTTCTCTGAAGTGCTGAAAAGTAAATGTCAAACACATGCTATAGAAAATAATAGGCCATACCGTAGTTCAGTTTTCATTTAGTGAGATGTCTGTAAAATCAACGAAATAGTCACCAGTCACTCAGTTATGTGCCCAGGAGGCACTGTTGTCACATTATATCTGTTGTCGTATTCCATTCTCACACAAACCCTACAAAGTAGGTATTGCTATCTGGGGCTCAGAAGGGGCAAATAGATTGCCTAAAATCTTCCAGCCAGTTGGTGGCAGAGCTGGAATTTGAACTTGAGTCTTTCCGATTCCACATCCACACCCCAGAGTGTGATCAATTGAACTCAGGGACATAAATTTTTTTTGTAATTTTTCCAGCTAATCTGGTATCATGCAGTGAATGAGATCAAACATCCATCTCTTGGTGGGGGAGCTAATAGATCATCCTCAGAGTGCCTTGGCTTTGGGAGGTGACATTTTCTTCGTTTGAACAATGTAAAGGAGAAAAATTCAAGAAGCATAAGGCATTAACTTTAGTTTTCCTGTGAGGGAGATTGTAACAGTGAGCAACCTAAATTCACCAGCAGAGTCCACACTCAGGTGAATTAGAATTCATTCTACATTTATTGAGAATCCTGTAAATCAAGCCATTAGAGCTTTAAAATGAACAAGACACCTGAGAGCTTGGGCACCTATTGCACTCTGGTTGTATGTTCAATGTTAAAATGCTTTGGGTAAGACCTGACCTCATGTCATTAGAGTGACTGCATATTTACTTACCTATCTTTTGTCTAATTGATGTTTTAGACCATGGTAGCTTAATTTTTAGAGTAGTCAGGTAAAGCGTAATTGAATTACTTTCATAAACTTGGAATCTCTGCCTCTAGACCAACCTTTCCCAAATGTGTTCTGCAGAGCATTGGTCCACCAAGATGCTTGTTAAACCAAGAAATGACTGTCCCGTACATTTGGAGAATCCTGAATATATTTTTCTTTTGCAGATTGACAGTGCACATTAGCATATTAGAGACTGGCATGGTTTTGTTTGAAAGCATCATATTTTACTCTATGTAATCAGAGTTTCCACAGTATTTTTTGAATACAGATTCATTTTTTCCACCCAACTTCTAGAGTTATGTGGAACACATCTTAGGAAATGGGGGGACTCCAGTTATTTTCCTTTTGCAAAAAATTCATCCGTGCTGACCTTTAGGCTCCTTTTAAAAGCTCTAAAATGCTGAGGCTTTACAATTTGGATCATCAGTCTGTTTTATGTCAGTCACTTCGATTTGTAAATGTGTTGGGTTATAGTTGTCAAATGCATACACAAACAATGTCCTCCTTTACCTTTGAAATCACTTCTGTGAGGCATAAACTTAAAGATTTGGTCATGACTCACTATCTTATTTGAAATTTTAGTTTGGAAGTATATACCCCAGCATTATTAATGTTTTCTAATAAATTGTTCCAGAAATTATATGTATTTATGTGAACATATGCATACATGTGTGGACGTGTATATGTACATATGTACAAGCCTATCCACCCACGTACCATGTATGAACAATTTTAAAGTATTCCATTGTATCATAATTTATTTTTTATTTTTTTTCACATCTTTATTGGAGTATAAATGCTTTACAGTGTTGTATTCATTTCTACTGTACAACAGAATCAGCTATATGTACACATATATCCCTGCATCCCCTCCCTCTTGCGTCTCCCTCCCACCCTCCCTATCCCATCCCTCTAGGTCGTCACAAAGCACTGAGCTGATCTCCCTGTGCTATGTATCATAATTTGTTAAGGAAGGAAATTTAGCTTTTTCTAGTTTTTTTTGCTTCAGTGAATATCCTTATACGTAAAATCTTTGTATGATTAGGTGGTTATATCTCTATGATAAGTTCCAAGAAGTAGAATTCTGGGTGAAAAGTATATGCGCTCTAAATTTTAATAGATACTTGTTGTCCAAGAGATTGGGCTTGTTTATTTTTAGTAACTGTATTAAAGTGTGTTCCCCCAGTCCCATCTCTGGCAACATGAGTAGATGTATTGAACTGAAATCTTAGCTGATGTTGTTTTCTAAATGGGAAGACTATTAGTTCTCTCAAAATGTACGTTTCATGTGTTATTCTATATTTATTATTTCCTGATTTATTTAATAGAAATGTCACATTATTTGGGGACTAGGAAGCAGTGGTCTTTGTGCTCAAACAGTTACCATCTGCAGTTATTACACAGGAAATTAATGACAATAACTAAAAGCTTTAATTTTATTTATTATTATGCATGACGTGTAAATTTTTTGTTTAGAAAACAGTTCAAGCGTTCGTTTATTTATTTTGGTTGAAAGTACATGCCTCTATGAAATTTTGCATTAATAGATTCTGCCAGAGAAATAAAATTATGGTAGACTTTGTGGAAAAATTGCAGAGATGACAAACTTGAGCACGAAGATATTTTTGAAATTTCCACATTTTCTTATGAAACTTCTCGTTTTTGCTGTCTCATTGGACTGTAGAAAGACTTTCCAGTCTGCCTTGGAGGAATGTCAGTAACATAATCGATTCCTTCTCTTTGCCTTAAAGGAGGAAGACAGTGGTCCTATAGTGCCCATGGGTGAGAAACGGAAACTTTGAGCTGCAGCTTCGGTTTATCCTCAAAGCCTGCATTGTTTGTCTTCATCTAATCGAGCTTTAATGGACATCTGTAACAGTTGCCTGTACACATGCTCTAATGAAATATTAGAAATGGCTGTAAATTCAAAAGAAACCCCATGTTATGTATCCGCATCACTGCTGCCAGTATTCATATTTTTGCACATACTGTTTATTGCTTATGTGTAGAAGAAATGAAACTAGTTTTCAGAGTTATTATTAATATGAATATATATCATGTATTAATACTGAGACAGGAAAAATACATTTCCAGCGTTTGCAGTCCTTCATTTCCTGTCTCCAACAGAAAATTCACTCATTCAGAAAATAATGTAATTCTTGATAATAAAATGAGAGTTTTGATCAAGAACAGCATATACAGCTCCAAAATGGAATGTGAAGGATTAGTAAAAAACACATCTCATGTTACTTTGCAACCCTCATACCATGGTTAATGTCAGGGTGATTTGTTATAAAACACGATTTGGGAGTTAATGTAAGAACATAATACTCACTTTATATATTACTTTCTTAGTTAAAGGATTTAGTTGATTATACGAATCTAATCATACTTATTTGACATATTAGAAGCTGAGGTTTCTAGGAATTTGAGAAAGGTATAAGAAATAAATAGGCTAAAGAGAAAGTGGATACTTTATTTTATAGCTTTATTTTCCATGATAGAAACATAAATTTAATAGTATCCTATAATAATTTAGTGTTGTACATTTTGTAAGACTTTAAAATATTTTATTTTATAGGTTTCACTTTGGCATATTGAGATCTTTGTTTTGAAGATGAATCATATCCTTATTTTAATTAATTCTAAGTGCTACTGGCAAATTTAGGCATATGCTTAGATGCAGTTAGATGTGATAGAATGAGATAATTTATGTAAAGCAGTAGAGTGCCTGGCACAAAGCAAGTACTTAATAAATGTTATTAGTTGTTGTTATAATTATTGTTGTAAAACTAATGACTTCAATAACATGTTACACTCAATTTTGAGGGATTTTGTGATGCAGAATATCTAAGTTAGAAATAGAAAATAATACAGATGGAATAATTATGTGTTGAGAGATTTTAAATGTGTTGGGTAAAGGTTGTAATAATGAAAAGCATTAAATGCAAATAAAAAAAATCTTACTAAGTATCCCTGAAAACAGAAGCTAAGAAGGTTCGCGGTGGAGCCTTGGGCAGGGAGAGAAAGGACCAGAGCTGCCCCAGAGAGAGGAAGTGGAGGCGGATGAAGGGTCAGCATCTAACAAAGCCCTGGACTACATGAGGGCGGCATCAGGCAGAGCCTCTGAGAGGTAAAGGCAGTCCCGGGATTTTCCCTTCTTTAGTTTCTTGTATACAAAAATGAAGAAATGGCAAAGCATGGCTACAAAAACTTGGCATATTTAAATACGTATCTTATAGACTAAAACTGATACCATGTACTTGCCAGACATTGGCTGCAGGTGTGGCCTCATTTGCAGTTAACATCAAAAGACAAAATCAAAACCCTCTCATGAGTGAGAGGCCAACAGGGCTGCTGGCACTCCTCTGCTAGACCCTGCGTTCAGGCCCTGGGGCTAAGCAGTACATGGGCACCCAGTGTCACTGATCCTGATGTGGTTGGCACTGAGCAGCTGGGGACCGTTCTTGGACTTAACTTCTGATGCTTCCTGCAGTCTCCCATCACTTGTCCCTGAAAAATACAAAATAAGCATAACAACAAAAATTAATTCAAATGACTCTCAGGGTAATATCTTGTTGCCCATACTTCCCCTCCAAAATATCTTTTTTAATTGAAGGAATCAAATTTATTTACTGGATATTTTCTGATTCAAAAGACTGAAATGAACTACTTGGTTCAGCTTGTGGTGGTCATTGGTGAGATTGTGTGGAAGCTTATATTCTTTAATGTGGGAAACCCCTTCACTCCACCATTAGGTACCTCAGACTCAGATTAGGAATGCTGCTTATAGTGATGCTTTTGTGGGGATGAAGTTGAAAGAGTAATTTGTCAATAACAAAAGTGTAAATGACTGGTCAGAAATCTATCTAGTTTTGATGGTGGCATGGGAAAGAAAAGTATGGGATGGACCTGGAAATTGGGGAAGAAGCTTCCCAAAGCAGAAGTGTGTGTATGGGGTAGTTAACTAGGGATAAGGGACAAATTTCACAGATCTTGAAATTTAATTTAGGGTGGATTTTGTTTACCTGAAAAAATGGCAAACTGAGGGTTTTCTTCTCATATGGCTTACACATATATAAGCACCTCTTATTCAAGGTAATTAATGTAGCTGATGGTATGTAATGTAATATTGATCTCAGAAAGTTTGTCAGTTAAGGTAATTTGAGTCATTTTGTTGGTCAGTCTAGCTGAAAGACTTGCTGATTTTGTCGATTCTTGATCCTTTCAAAGAACCAACATTTGATTCTGTTTGTTTTCTCTACTGTGTTTTTATCTAATCTTTATTATTTCCTTCCTTCTACTTGCTTTGGGTTTATTTTGTGCTTTTTCCATTACCTTAAGGTGGAAGTTTAGGGTATTGGTTTGAGATCTTTTTAATAAAAGCATTTGTAGTTATAAAATTTCCTCTAAGCATTGCTTTAGCTGCATCCTATAAGTTGTGTTTGTTATATTTTTGTTTTCTTTCATCTCAAAGTATTTTCTAATTTGCCTTGTGATTTCTTCTTTGACCCAATGGCTTTTTGGGAGTGTGTTGCTTAATTTCTACATATTTATAAATCCCCAAATTTCTGTTATTGAGTTATAATTTTCATTGTAACACACTTTGTGTGATTTGAATTCCTTTAAACTTATTGAGGCATGTTTTATGGCCTAGATATGGTTTATTCTGGAGAATATTCCATGTGTATTTAAGAAGAATGTGTATTCTGCTGTTGTTGGTGTTACGTTCTATGTTTATTAGGTCTAGTTGATCTTCTGCATATTTCTATCTATCATTGAAAACAGGATATTGAAGTCGCCAGTGATTATTGTTGAATTACCTATTTCTTGCTTCAGTTCTGTCAGTTTTTTTTTTTCATGTACATACGTTTATCATTTTTATATCTTTCTGATGGAGTTATCCTTTTATCATTATAAAATGTCTCTCTTTATCTCCAGCAACATTTTTGTTTTATAATAGACTTTCTAAGACATTAGTATAGCACTCCAGCTTTCTTATGGCTGCTGTTTGCGTGATATGTGTTTTTCCATCATTTTACTTTCAACCTATTTGATCTTTAAATCTAAAGTGTGTCTCCTGTAGACAGCTTAAAGTTGGATATTGTTTTTCCATCTAGCCAATCTCTGCCTTTTGGTTGGACTGTTTAACCCATTTATATTTAATGTTGTCGATATATTTAGGTTTATGTCTGCCATTCTACTTTTTGTTTTCTACCTGTCTCATGTCTTTTTTTGTTTGTTTCTCTGTCCCTCCTTCATTGCTCTCTTTTGCATTAAGTGACTATTTCCCAGTGTACTGTTTCTTTTTTTTTTCTTTTATTATTCTCCAGTGTACTATTTCAATTGCTTTAATGATTTTTTTAATACTTTCTTTGGAGTTTATTTTCTTAGTGGTTGCTCTAGGGCTTACCATATATTGATACATGTTAATTTATTAGAATCTACTTCAGATTTATGTTAATGTGATTACAGTTGGTGTTCTTTCTTCTTGTCAACTGCCTCTTGCCCTAGGCAAAATCTTTGAGTCACAGCTCAGGAGCTATGGGTAGGGACAGTGGTTTGCTCTTTGTGGAGTGACACTCCTGCTTTGCAGACAGGGTTCTGGGTAGGGGCAGAAGCCTCTGGTTTTTGTGGCTTGCCTCTCCCAGACTGAAACTTCCACCCTATGAATAAGCCAGGGTGAAGGTGATCAAGGTCCCAATATTCTCAGCTTGCTGCACCTGGTGTAGAACCTCTGCTCTGTGAGTGGGGGCTGGGTGGAAGAAGGGGGCTTATGAGCTCTTGGAATTTAGCCTCTGTGAACCTTTTATGTATCCCTTGGTTGGGATTTGAGGGAAGAAGGAGCCCCATCTTCCTGGCCTTACCCACTTAGAATGGATAGTTAATCATGCTAAACTGGAGTGAGTGTGTTTATGGCTCAAATTCTAAATAATCTTATTGAGATTTAGGAGATTTTTCTTGAGTACATGTTTTCTCCATTTGCTGTATGTCCTTGGGAAAATTTCCAGACACTTTAAATTTCTTCTTCTTCTTTTTATTCTGTCAGGTATGGTAGTTGCGCTGGGAAGCAGGTCTGTGGAGCTTCTCTCATGTCCATTCTGGGTGTAATGCTCTGTCATCTAAGATGGCACATTACTCAAAATGTCAGGCTATCAGATTCCTTCTGGAATTTTCACTGGAGTAAGCGTATTTTTCAAAATTGTGTGTCAGATATCATCATTGTGATTAAGGGTAGACTCATGCTTTTGGATAACTTAAAGTTTCTTAAAATGAAAATGAAGTTGACATAACAATGATAGTAGTTATTGAGTTAATTACTCTGAAACTTCTCCATTTTATTTTTCTATTTAATTAATTAAAAACAGTTAGTATATGCTGATTAATGATTTTCAAGTCTGACCTCTACAAACTGAGACTCAAGATGGCATGTGTGTGAATAGACACCCAATAAACCTCATTTTCCTTAGAATCTATTCACTTCTATTAGAATATATTAATATAGCAAATATTGATATGATGAAAAGCAACCTATATTTTATTTAATACAGAATATTATTTGGGTCATAGTATAGAGTATTATGTAAAAGATGAGGCTTTATACACTGATGATGTAATGCAGTTCCTAAAGATAAGCTCACAGAAACCTTTGTTCCTTTTTTGCTGTGTTCCCTTCCTTTGTTTAGAGGCATTTCCTGTGCTGCTTCTGTGTGAAGCTCTTAACTGACACTCAGTCAGGTAGTGAGGTGGTGACACGTGACCCTTCAGACGAGTGTTTTTTTTTTTTTTTTAAGAAAGATAAAAACAACATAGAAGAAAGGCTTTGTGTTGTGTCAGACTTAGATTACATTTTAATAAAGTATACTAGAAGTTTTACACTTGAGGTTGTACAGGAATCCCCGCTTGGAAATGACACTATTGAGTTTTGAGAAACTTTTCAATTTCTGAAACTTCAGTGAATCTGCATAAACGACTGACTTGTAACGCTTCTACACCTCCACCACCCAGTGGGACACTGTAGTTTAGTGAGTCAATAAAATTTAAGAAATTTCTTAGAGCTGCTCCAGAGACCTAGATATGCTTGTATTACTCCCTTTTGGGCCTGATTCATTTCCAGAATAACTCTACTGCACACTTCCTTTGATAAACTTTAATTGCTTTCAAATTACATTGGAATTTAGTCAACCTCAATAGGAATTTTCCTGTGAAATTATATTAGAATCTGGCCCAAAGGGATTAAAAAAAAAAAAAGAAGAAGCATAATAAAGTCTATACATTGCATGAAAAACATTTTATCTTTTATAACATAAAGATGCTTCTTTATGGCATGAAAGAAAGCTACAGTGTTCTTAAAGCACAAGACTGGGATGAAAATTAACTGTTTGAAATTTCAGTCATATTAAATAAATTTCCTAACAAATGCTGCTTTCAGCAAATCTCATTTGAATAAATTAACCTTAAAACAAAAAAACTTTATAATTAACATGACTTCTTTCCCCCTTTTTTTTTCTGCTCAGAAATTATCTTCAAATGACATAGTTCCAAATATTCAAGAAATATGTTTGGGGCCCTATTAAAAAATTCAGATGCACATCTGATGGAGTCGTTTATGAGGATTTTGCCTTTGCTCTTAGGCTCGGTAGTTACACTGGTCGAGCTCAGCCTTCATACCTAACCAGAAACTTGAAGCAGTTCAGGAAGAACTGGGACCAGCTAAGAAAAACCTACAATTCCACAGATCTTTATTTTCTAAGTCCACAGAAAAGAAATGTGAATACAGTTCTTCTGGTGAGGAAATTGGTTTTCCCAGGAAGAGGAATTGATGCTTCTAGAGCACCAAGGAGGTGATTTTCTCATTTATGTAAGTGTGAGAAATGTCCTAAGTGGTACACTCTTATGCGAGACAAGTACAGGTGAGCAGTTAACTCCAAGGAACTATGCGTCTCACAGAGGCCAGGGCCATTATTACTGCTAGTCCTTGCACGAAACTATGTATTTGAAAACATTTTATGGACATTGATTGCACCTATTATTTCTCAATGAAGTTCCGACCCTTGGGCTCCAGCCTTGCGTCTCTCTGTTCTCAACACCCCACTCCCTCCCCCCCGCGAAGACTAGAGGGTCCATTGTTGCTAACTGCTACATCTTTGGCAAGAGAACACATATTTTCACTACTGTCCTTGGAGGCCTTTTCTGATTTCTGACAATTGGTCTGTATTGTTTTTTATCATCTCATGCATTTGTATTAAATATGTTTGAATCATCATAATCACTCTATTGTGGGAATTGGCTCAAAGGAGGCAGACAACATTTAAGCCAGAAGAAGCTTTTTTTTTTCTTTCTTTCTCAATCACCTTTTAAAAACTGGTCAATAGGATGATGTAATTGATTTCTGGGGTTTCGTAATTCTGTCCTCTGATTTAGCTGAGGGTAAACTTCCTTTTTTTGACCGGAAAGAAAAATGTGTCAAGTATATGTGTGGTCAAACCTATGCATCTTCTGAAGAATTATTTTTATTTTGAACTGTTTTAGAATATTTCCAACTTTCCCCAACAGTATTCATTTCCACCACCACCCTGGGAAGCAGGAAAATGAGCAGCAGTAGCTCCTCCAGGTGAACTGTGGCCAGAGAACAACTCAGCCAGTGGAGACAGACGGTGCTTCCCAGCAGAATGCGGTATGTGAGGAGAGAACGTACCTGGGGTGGGTGCAGACGTGAAAGAAGCTGTGAAGACTTCCCAAAAGGAGCAGAGAATTTCCATGAAGCCGGACCCGCGGTAGAGCAATAGCTGCAGCTGATACAGGTCAATACCTTGGGTGATTCAAAGTGGTGTTCGTAACGCTGTTCTCTGGGCAAAGTTCTGTGACGGACTGCAGGTCGTGTGGTCACATCCTGTCATGCGATCAGATGGGCGGGGGTAATAGCGGTTCAAGACACAGACAGAAACCAAACTCCTTGACTTAAATGTTGGATCTGAGTCCTGCTGGAGATGTGTGACCTTGGTCCATGTACCTAACCTCACTGGCCTCAGTTTCTTTGTCTTTATTCTTACTACCTAAATCTTGGTGTACTTAACCTCACTGGCCTCAGTTTCTTTGTCTTTATTTAAGATTTACTACTTAAAACTTGAGATGTCTGTTTATATTATTTTAGCACTCATCGGATTATCTGGAGAAGGGTTTGCTATTATTCCTCTATCACTTATAGGCTCTTTGCACCACAGTGGCCAAGAGGCCTGGGCTGTTGGAGCAGGGCTGCCCAATACGGTCATCTTGCTTCTCTTTTTTCTCACTCACTTTCCCCGTTTTTCAAGGACAGTCATTCCTGTGCCCATTGGCTCCACCAAGGGCCCTCTGTACAGCCATGGGCTTCTCTCTGCAGCGTATGCCTGTATTAGTATGTGCTCGGGTACCAAGAGAGGAGCATCACTTTCTGAGGCAGAATCTGCCGAGATGCTTCACAGCCATTTTTTCTTCCCCCGTGCTAGGCCCCCGGAGTAGCTGTATTCCTTAGGAAGGACCAACCTCAAATAGGTGCCCGAATGTCAAAATACTTGAAGGAAATGATGAAATAATTTGTGAAGGGTGGGTGAAGCCATACGCTGAAACGAGCAGCAAATATGCGATTGCCGTGTGTAACTTTGCAGGCTCTGTATGTTGATGCAGACGAATAATTGAAGAAATTAACTCTGCCTGCCTCTTCATTAGTTAGGTAGAGACAGTCTCCCAAGGGTGCAACTTCCTAGGGCTTCAGAGTGGCTGAGGGACCCCCTCTGAGAGATGCGAAGGTAGGCCACTAGACACCCATTGCTTGGGGGAAGGGCACAGAGGGACATTTTGACCTCAACAAAGGTCCTCTGGAAAAGGAGAGCTCTGGGGTGGAGGGGAAGCTATTTCCATAAGGAGTTAGAGTCCTTCTGGGAGTGAGGGAGCTGAGGGTCTTAAGTGAGTTTTAAAATTAGGGAGACCCATGGGAGTTCACTGCTTGGGAAGGGCAGCAAAGCGTTGCACCACAGGGGGATGGGCAGGCCGACCTGGTGCCGTCTGACCAGTGCTGAGCCTAAGGGTTGTGGGTTCGTACTGGTTCCAGCATTGTGGAATCTTGTCAGCCTCACAGCTTTGGATAACACTGCTGAACGTGAGTGCCCCTCAGGGCCATGGGAGCAATAACGCCGGAACCACTGGACTGGCTTCCTTTGAAAGACAACACTGGTTGCTTGGACAGCTCCGGAGAGAGAGAACACCCCAGGACGGGGCTTAGACTTCCTACTGATAAGGACGTGTGGAGAAACAAGCCCCACTGAAAAAAATAAGAGCTGAATGGCCATTTCTGACACCCAGGCTGGTAAGGGAAGTCATGTCCATTATTTACGCACAACACACTATAAAGAACATCTGGTGGAATTGATACAAATCTATAGCTCCTCCTAACTAAGAAGCGTTATTAGCCCTTAAGCAAAGGGGAACGAGTGTGGTTCTCTCTGGATCTTTTCCTCGTGTTGCAGATTATTCTCTTCCAAGCCAAATACCTCCTTCCTCATTATTATTATTTTTCCTCAGCACTGATAATTCTTAGTTTTTTGCTTATGTACTTGCTCCAAGTGCACTCTTGAAGTCCTGAGTTTTCTTCGGTAGATTCCTTCAGAAGCTTTCCTTTCCTCTGTGATGTTCTGTGAGGTGATGGCTCCCCTGAGGCCACAACTCGGCCTTTGTCCCATCAGGTGAGTCCGTGTCCTCTAGAGCAGCTTCCTTCTCTCTGGTGATAACAGCGTCCTCCACTGTGTAATGGCAGATGTCATGCTTGAAACTGAGCAGGACCCTGGGGGGCCTTCCTAGGTACAGAAGCTCCTCTGTGACCCCTGTTTCTTGTTTGTAGGAAAAAAAGCTTTAGTCTCCTAGGCCTTCCGAGTTCCAAAGAGCAGACTCAAGCAGTTACTAGTTAGGGAAGTGAGGAGATGCAGAAACAAAGGAAAAGCAGTTAAGCAAGAAAAGTAATAATAGCTTAGATTACAGTTCAGTGATAAAGCAGAGACCTAGTTCCTCCTCAAGGGGCATACGTGATAATCTGGTGCATATCTTTGAGCTGTCCTGCAGAAACCAAGATTCTCCCCCCCACCCCACCCCCTTGGAGGGCCGTGACTACATGCTGGCCACAAGCACTTAGACCCCAGACGAGTTGGAACCAGAAGAGAAAGGATTAAGTTTCCTGAAACATCACCCTGTTACCTCACCACCAACCAATCAGAAGAAAGTCCATGAGCTGCAACCCTCATCCCAAATGTTGCGTTTAAAAACCTTTCCCTGAAAGACATCAGGGAGTTCTGAGCTGCCTGTTCTCCTTGCTTGGGGCCCTGCAATAAATGCTATAATTTCCTACACTGCGACCTTGTGTCAGTGGATTGGCGTTGCTGTGCGGTGGGTGAGCAGACCCAAGCTCAGTTTGCTAACACACTTATCCCCAGTCTGGTTGGAAAAAGTCACTTTCTGCTTGGAATCTGAGTGGAATAATCTTCCACATTCCCTTATAACACACCAGACTTCTTATGCACTAATGTGAAATCTGAGTTTCCTGGGGTGTTATTTTTTAATCAGTTAACTCCCAGTTTCGTGTGCGCTAGATTATGATTAGGTTAAGAATTCCCAGTTTTTCTTAGCTTGAGTAGAAAGAGAATATTTAGTTTCCAAGAGCCACTTAGATAAGAAAAAGTTGAAAACACCGTGAAGGTAAGTGGAATTGCTGGAGACTGGAGGACTTCCTGTGTTCACTGACTATCGACACTCATTGCTTCTGCTTCCTGTGGAGAGCCGGCATTTGGACCTTGCCTGTGGTCTGTTTATTGCGCACGTTAAAGAGGCGTCTCTGAGGGCCAGATGGGTGAGTGAAAGTAAGCTCCTCAATTTCCCATCTCCACTGATAAATCCGACTTTGTCATAATGACAGAGCATCCAAAGCAAACGACTGCAATGCGTGGACACTTCGCTTCATCCTGGTTGTGTGCAAAGACCTCTTAAACCCGCACAGAGGTGGATTTTCAGTTGCCCCTAACCACCAACCAAATGGATGACACTAGCAGAACTTTCCAAAGTTTCTGCCTGAAAACACTCTAGCAAGAGGATCTGAAGCAGATGAAATAGATGGTCATTTGATTCACATGAATCATAAGCTGCGGAATTTGATCTAGTTCTAGTACATTAAAATCGTAATAGTTTTGTCTTCACTGGCTTTTAGTCGAGACTGTAAAAAAGTCAGCAATTACTGAATTATTGAATCGCAAAGGTAGGCAACGGGCAGGGCTTTTCTCAGCAGCACACTGACTACGGAAATTAAGTGACCAGGAGGCTTGAGGACCCCTGGGACTAAAACTCTCATTCCTTATACATTGGACACGTCCCTTCTTAGACAGGATGTCGGTTTGCGGGAGGTGATCCGTGTATAAGTGTGAGTTAATAGTAGGCCCTTTAATTCTATTCCCCACATTCCTCATTAATCCCACGCTATTGGATCACTGCTTTATTTTGTTCCTTTATAAATTTATATCACAAAACCTCGATTTATGGTATTACCATTGATAAGTTTTTTCAATATACACAGTCCATTTATTTTCACGCCCACTTAGGACCAGTGAAATTTATGTAGCAACATATTATTAATTGCCTTCCAACTTCTGTCCATCAGAAATATTTAACAAATGTCCCCACCCATTACTATAATACTATTCCTGAAGCAAAGTGCTTTCAGAGATGCATCTAATTGACGCATTGTCTGTTTTTGGAGATGTACAGATTTCTAGAAAGCAGCCCACTGACGGGTCTCTACGTGATGGGGGGCGAGTGTTGTTACTCACTGAGATGCCTCCTGAGATGATGGCCTGGCTCACTTTGAAGCAGAAAATAGAATAAAATGAGGTTTATGTGCTGTTGGCGTCAGAAAAGCCCATTACGATGATTTTGCTTAACGCTTGTCATCTAGTTTGTAGTTGTCTGTAATACAATGCCTGTCCTGATGCAGATTTTTTGTTTTAGGGAGTGGGTATCCACATCCACAAATGCAGGGGCTGCTGGACAGTAGGAAGGGTACATGGAGGATGGCTGTGGATGGTGCGGGAAACTGGGCAAAGTCAAGGGCAGTAATTAAGCTCCTCCCTCTGACTTGCTGCTTTTCTTCCTCTTCTATTGCTGTAAATTAAACATGGTTGCTAACGTCTGACATTTCTCCCTCGACAGCGAGGGGGACACGATACAAGTCTGTCATTTGTTTATTCAGCAGGTGCTTATTGATTTCTTCCTGTGTGTCAGTTACTGTGCTGGTGCAAAGAAGACTCAATCCTGCCCAGCACACACCTAATTATAATTCAGAGCATCTTCTAAAAGCCATATGAGTGGCGTAAATTATATGTTCAAAAAAGAAAAAAAGAGTATGCTGAGGTGAACAGGGCGTATTCATGGAGAAGGTGTCATAGGACTTAAAAGTTGGAGAAGCAGGTGAGAAGAAGGGGTCCATGTATGCAGACTAGCAGGAGAAAAGGTGTGAGGAGAGTGAAGCAGGAGGCCTTAGACAGAGTTGGTGCATGAAGCATTTTAGCTGAATTAAAATATATACAAGAGAGTGGAGAGATGTTATGATAAAAGGCAGGATGAAGGAACCAGACTGAGGACTTTGAGAGCTAGATGATTAAATCAAACCTTTATTTATAGGAGATAACGGGTCCATCGTGCAAGTTAATTATGGAGCACTTGAGTAGCAGGCACTGGACTAGATCCCGGGAAGGTTGGAGGATCAGTGATGCACAACCACATCCCTCAACTAGAGGCAGCAACGAGGCCCAGAAGAGTTTTGAACACGAGCTTGATGTCTTCTGGAGATTAGCTCCACGTGAGGTAAAACAGGGGGTTGGCAAGCCTGTCACCCAGAGGTGTAGGCAGGTGTGGGGGGGATCGGGGCCAAGAAGCAACACGGAGAAGCAGATGAGGCAGGACAGGTACTTGCTCTACCTGCTGGCGTGAGAGCTGCTGTCTGAGGCTGCATCCTTTCCCACATCACAAGCTCTTCTCTTCATCCAACGAATAGACGAGTCCAGATGTGAGTGAGCTGCTGCCCCTCAGTTTACTATTTGGGGAGAGTCATTTGCAAGTTTTTTACATGACTCCCCTGCTCCAAGAAGTATAAACTAGCTCTCTCTCTTTTTAAATGTCTTGCTTGTAAATTGTCCCTAAAAAAACTACTGTGCTCATGTCTGATCCTTGCAGGTAGCATTGAAGCACCTTGAAGGTAAGGACTTTGACAGGTTCCCACAGCTTATCTGTCTCCCCTACACCCTTGTCGCCTGACAGGTTTCCCAGTGAGACAAAAGATTCTGAACTTATTACCAGACACAAACAAACATCAGTAACGACTACATACAAATTTTCTTATCTTTTCGGAGATGTAAAATATACCTCTGTGTGTGTGTGTGTGTGTGTGTGTGTGTGTGTGTGTGTATTTTCCACCATCTTTTCTCAGCTGTCATTGCTAAATCCATGATTTCATGGTAAAAATAGCTGTAACCTGGAAAACAACTAGAAACTTCTTGGTTTTTAATATTCTCGTAAAGGCAGAGCATGTTTTTCTTTCCAACTTGCTGACAACACAGTTGTTGGGGGTCAGACACTCAGGATGGGTGCTTCTTGATAAAAAATAATGGACACGTGGTTGTCCTAGCAGCTTCTGACCTTGTTTCTGTTTTCTACGTGTTCTGTAAGAGCATGCCTGGGTCAGCTCTGACACACCCAGGGCTTTCAGCTCTTTCTCAGCATCCTGGACCCCTGCCAGTCTCCATTTTCTCCAGGTCCATGAGGCATAAGACAGATCTACAAGGACTTTGGAGCTGGGCATCTACAAGGCAAAGTTGAGGAGCCGGATGGTCCTCTGCCAGTGCATAGAGAGTTGGGGGTACCAGCTGGTTGATTGGGCAGGTCCCCAGGCTGAGCAGGATTCCAGCTCAGTAGACTCAGAGCAGCTCTGGGAGAACTGGTAAACCCACCCAGGGCTCTGGCCCGGCCCATTCTTCACCTTGTCAATGTCACCATCTTCTAACCTCTTTTTTGTTTGTCTTCAAACAGCCCTCCTTTTGAATATCGGTATCCCTTTAGAAGCTGATTTATTCTGTCTGCTTTATGCCACACGAGTGCTTTTTCATGTGGTGTAAGCTGGTACTCTTCCTCCTTTCGATGGGGATTTGTCTTCAAAATTAATTTCAGTCATTTCTTCTTCTCTTCGTATCTCTATCAACTCACAAACATTTCTTGGAAAGACCAGTTTATATGATTTATTGGATCTTTAGAAAACCATTACTATCTCTTCTATTCCATAATTATTTTACTTAAAGCTTTATAAAGTTATACTATTTTCTTATTATTTCCTCTCTCTATATATATTTATTTATTTTTTATTGGAGTATAGTTGCTTTATTCTGACGTGAACGTAACAAAAAAAGTGTCCTTCTGTTTACGTAGTAAGTACAGGATAAAATATACCAGGATTTGTTTGTTGTGTCCACATATTTCAGTGGGTTTTTTTCAGCCTTTGCAACTACAAAAGCAATACAGTTACTTTACTTGATACCTACCAGAGAAAAGGAGAGCTGTCAGCTCTAAGTAGTTTTTCAATTAATTTAGTCTTTCTTTCTCCACTGGTAACAAGTGTGTTGCCCGGAAGCCTTCTCCCATAGTGCTGGAGTGATGAAGCATGGCTGGCACATGGCATTGCTTGCAATGACATCTTTTTCTGTACAAGCGTCCTGAAATCACTGTGGATGGATAGATAACCTGTCTTAAAAGGACAGCCTACTGTGATTCGTAATCCTGGTACCACAACAGTAGGCATAGCTGCCTAAGACAAAAAGGCTTTTTCCAGCTTTGTGTGAATCATCGCTCAAGCATTTAAAACACGGAGTCTGTTCTTCCAGTGCAAAGCCCTCTCGTTAATATTAATGAAAGTCACACATTTTCTCTCAAAGACAGAAAGGATGCCTCAGTCTTTCCCCAGGAATCCTAGATTATAAAGGAAGAGTATCTGTAACTGCTTTTTTTTTTTTTTTTTTGTCGTGGAGTACAATGGAATAATAGAGCTTAGGCAGAAGCTGGCAACATTTAAAATCAAGCTCTCCGTTTGTTGACACTAGAAAAATACCTCAGTGTTGGAGCATAAATGCAAATGTCTCCCTCCGTGTTTGATACTTCTCAGGTTTCTCACTCTCTTTTTCACTTTGAAGGGAAAAGAAAAATCATTTTGGTTTTTAAAAGATCAAACAGATTTTTAAAAACATTTAACAGACACCAGCTACTCATTTCCCCATTAATTCAAATCAAGCCTTCTTATTGATGGAATCTGAGAAAAAGAGAGGAGATAAAACACAATAGATGAAAGACACCGATAAAAATAGTGGCAGCATAATGGTCCTGTTTTTCAGCTCTTAAGGGAGCCTATACTATCATTCTTCTTAAGCTAAACTACCTCTGATATTGGAGGGCTGAGGGCACTGAACATGCCTCATTTTCAAAGTATTAGCAAGATCAATTAGCAAATCCTCACAACCAAGAGGAGTAAAAAGCATTCAGCAGTAGAGCAGTATCGTGTAGCACTGTTCTAGGAATTACCATTTTATGGTTCAGTTTTCTGTGTCAATCCACATGGCGAATCCTATCCACTTTGAGAATTTAGGAGTAGTTCAGTATTTTGCTCAAAAAATAAGAGGCTGCCCATTTAGTGGAAAGGGCATGGGTTTGGTGCTCAGAACACAGACTCACATTTTCTTAGTAAATACTTATGTGCTGTGCACTCCATTGCTTGTCCTGGTAGGGCTATGGAATTCTGTGTACGGGACTTAGTTTTTCTGAGCTTGTAGAAATCTATCGCATCTTGTCTGCTCAGCAGTTTTCTTTCAGGAACTACCACTTTTCTACCTGACAAGGTTGCCAAGATCTTACCTCCTCTGTAAAGTGACTCAGATGGGACAGTCTGAAACACTCAACCCTAATGGCCACCGTGATTAACTTGGGGTGGACCCATGGCCCGAACTGAGCCAATCTGAGAATTTTCCTGGAGCTTCCTGGACAGAGGAGTGAGTGAGCTGCTCTCCAGGATCACAAGTTATAAGGATGGTGTTAACTTTGTTTCCAGATAAGTGCTTATCTGTGAATGGATTTTAACCCACAGAGGAGGAGGCCTACGGAGCTGTAAAGAGTCCGCACAGGAGAGCTCTGATAATGTGTTTTGAGCCACTGCGTCTAAACTCACCTGGATGCAGTTCTGGACATTTCAGTTGCATGGAATTAAAGGGGTTCCAAATGAGCCTCCCCACAGTGTGCCACTCTGACACGTGGATTATTCTGAGCTGAAGACAATCAAGGCCCAAAAGACTCAGAAAGGGCTTTTACCTCCCCCTTAACTGCCTAAAAGAATTTAGATAGAGGGCCTGGTCTAAGAGAATTATCACCAGAGATAACTACAAAGAGTGTGGGCGAGGTGTGGTGAGCTGGGAGGGGCCAGCTGGCCTGCGTCCCATGGTGTGTATATGGCATGTGTGTCCCATGGTGTGTATATGGCATGTGCGTCCCATGGTGTGTATATGGCATGTGCGTCCCATGGTGTGTATATGGCATGTGTCCCATGGTGTGTATATGGCATGTGTGTCCCATGGTGTGTATATGGCATGTGTGTCCCATGGTGTGTATATGGCATGTGTGTCCCATGGTGTG